TTGGCATCTTGCGGGACTTGTGATAAGAGAGTGAACCATATTATAAGCCATTCTTTGAACTATTATCTTAAATAGTTTATAGAAAATGAATTTTGCAACAAGCTTCTCAACTCCACTAGTCTTCAAAGGTGAAAATTATTAAGCTTGGGCAATCAGAATGATGGTTCATCTTAAAGTGTTGGATCTCTGAGAAACAGGAGAAGAGGATTATCAAGTAACTCCTCTCGGTGATAATCCAACAATGAATGCGATGAAAAATCACAATGAGAATAAGACAAGGAAAGCCTAAGCCAAAGTTTGCCTATTCTTTGCAATATCCCCTTCAATTCTTACCAGAATTATACAAATGAAGTCTATTGCAGAAATTTGGGAGTATCTCAAAAAATAATATGAAGGAAATGAAAGAGTGCAGAACACTACAAGAAAAGTGTGAATTACATGGGGATTTTCGTAGGGATTAGTATGAAACTCCATAGGAAACTTATTTTCCTGAAAATATTCATGATAATAATTCCTAGGAACATCCCCATGTAATTCACACTTTTTTTGTAGTGGAATATGAGAGTGATGAATCTGATTCGAGAATTTGAAATGAAGAGAATGAAAGAATCATAAACTATAAAAGATTATGCAAACCAACTACTCAACTTGGCCAACAAGGTGAGAATGTTTGGTAAGGATTTCAGTGATGAAAGAATTGTTCAAAATATTTTTGTTACACTTCCTGAGAAATATGATGCCACAATTTCTTCTTTAGAAAATTCTAAAGATTTGTTAAGTGTTACCTTGGAAAAACTTGTTAGAGCTTTGCAGACATTGGAGCAAAGGAGAATAATGAGGAAAGAAGGTTCTGTTGAAGGTGATTTTCAAGATAATTCACAGAACAATGAGTCAAACAAAGGAAGGAAAATGATCAAAAAGCAAAGGCTTAGCAATAATTACAATAATCAGGGAGGATGTCAACCTCCTTGCCCTTATTGCAAAAAGACAAACCACTCTCAACAGAACTTTTGGTGGAGACTAGATGTCAAGTGCAAAAATGTGGTCAACTAATCCATGTGTAGATGGTATGCAAGTCACAACCACAACAAGAAGAAGCTAAGGCTGCTGTAAATCAACATCAAGAAGAGCAATTATTTGTAACAACTTGTTTTGCTAGCAAAAAACGCTTCTGAATAATGGTTAATTGATAGCGGATGCACAAATCATATGACTAGTGACCAATAACTCTTTAAAGATATAGATAGATCTTTTATTTCCAAAGGAAAATTTGAAATGGAGAATATCTCGACGCGAGAGGCAAAGGAACTCTTGCAATTGAAAGCCTTACAGGTTTGAAACTTATGGTTGATGTTCTTTTTGTTCTTGATCTTGATCAAAACCTCCTAAGTGTTGGACAACTACTTAAAAATGGTTTGGAAGTGTTTCTTGAAGAAAAAACATGTGTCATCAAGGATGCTGATAATAAGGAGATGTTCAAGGTCAAGATGAGAGGAAAAAGTTTTGGCTTGACCCTCTTGGACGAGGAGCAAGCAACACCTATCCAGTTGGAAAATAACTCATAATTATGGCACAAAAGACTCAGACATTTTCATTATGATGTTATACTCTTCATGAAAGAAAATCAACTCGCAAAAGGTCTTCCAAGCCTTGAAAAGAACCTTCCTGCTTGTGAAGCTTGTTAGTATGGGAAGAAAACAAGGTTGCATTTTCAGAATCCATCATGGAGGGCAAAGCAGAAGCTACAACTTATTCACACGGATGTAGGCGGACCTTATAAAACACCATCTTTAAAGAGTAGTAAGTACAATATTGCCTTTATTGATGATTTTATCAAATATTCTTAGATTTATTTTTTGAACTATAAATCTATGGCGGGTGATGTATTCAAGAAATACAAGGCTTTTGTGCAAAATCAGAGTGGTTGCATAATTCAGGTGATAAGAATAGATAATGGAACCGAGTATACTTCAGAAAAATTCAACAAGATTTGTAATGAAGCATTAATTGAGCATCAACTAACAACACCCTATACTCCCCAACAAAATGAACTAGTGGAAAGAAAAATAGGACACAAATGGAGATGACAAGGTGTTTTCTCCTTGAGAAAGGGCTGCCAAAGAACTTTTGGGCTGAAGCTGCAAATACTGCAGTAATTCTGCTAAACCGATTGCCAACTAAGGCCTTGCAAAAGAAGACACCATTTGAGGCTTGGTTTGGTTACAAACCTTTGCTAACAAATATTTGGTTGTCTTTATTTTTCTTATGTACCTCAAGTTAAAAGAGATAAGTTGAATAAGATGGCTAAACCTTGAATTTTTGTAGGATACAACAGTCTCTCAAAAGCTTATAGGATCTATCAACTTCAAAATGACAAAATCATTTTTAACAGGGATGTCAAGTTTGTCTAAAATGACACCCGGAGCTCACAAGATAATGAAAAGAAAAAAAATCTAAAATTTCTAGATAAAGATGTTCATGATGTACCTGTTAGAGGAACAAGAAAACTTTCTGATATATATCAAGGTGTAATGTTGCAATTTTAGAACTACGAGCATTTATGGAGGCGACTAAAGATGAGAAATGGAGATATGCAATGCAGGAGGAGCTCAAAATGATACAAAAGAACAACACATATGAGCTAGTTTACAGACCATTGCATAAGAAGGCTATTGGAGTCAAGTGGCTTTATAGAACCAAGCTCAATCTTGATGGTTTCACAAACAAGTACAGGGCTAGGATGGTTGCAAAAGGGTACGCACAAATGTTTGGAGTAGAGTTTTCAGAAACGTTTGCTCATGCCGCCTGTTTGGATATGATAACTATGTTGTTAGCTTTAGCAGGTCAATGGAGATGGAAGATACACCAGCTTGATGTGAAATGAGCTTTCCTGAATGTCTACCTCGAAGAAGAAATTTTTGTAGAACAACCTGAAGGTTTTTCTATCAAAGGCAAAAAAGGCAAAGTGTACCTTCTCAAGAAGGCATTGTATGGCTTAAAACAAGCTCCTAGAGCTTGGTATAGTAGAATTGATGCTCATCTTCTGAGCTTTGGCTTCCAAAAAGTTTCAGTGAGTATACACTCTATATTAGAAAAGAAGATTATGATTTAACTATTGTTTCTTTATATGTAGATGACTTGCCAGTTATAGGTAGGAATTTGGAATTGATCAACTTGTTCAAGACTGAAATGATGGAAGTTTTTGAGTTGACAGACCTTGTTATAATGTTTTATTTTCTTGGAATGGAAATTCAGTAAAAAGGACACGAGATCTTCATATGCCAGCAGAAATATGCTCAAGAAATTCCCATAAAGTTTAAAATGAAAGAATGCAAGTCTACAACAACTCATATGAATCAAAAGGAGAAGTTTTGCAAAGAAGATGGAGATGAAAAGGTTGATGAAGGAATTTATAGGAGCCTGATAGGTTTGCTAATGTACTTGACTGCAACGAGACCAAATATTCTTTATGTTGTGAGTTTACTTTCAAGATATACGCATTGCAGCTATATGTGTGATTAGATATGTTCAAGGTACTGCCAATTTTGGCATAATGTTCAAAAAAGCATTAGACTTTCAGTTTCTTGGATTTTCTGATAGTGATTGGGCTTGGGCTGGTAGATCAGATGATATGAGAAGCACCTCAGGTTACTATTTTTGTTTTGGTTCTGGAATGTTCTGTTGGTGTTGAAAGAAGCAAGATATTGTGGCTCAATCTACAGATGAAGCAGAGTACATTGCAACTGTATCAGCTGTGAACCAGCCGTTTGGATTCAGGAGCTACTGACAGATTTGTAAATGGAGCAAAAAGAGTATGGAAATCTTTGTTGATAATCAAGTTGCAATTTCAATTGAAAATAATCTCGTTTAACATGGAAAGACAAAACATTTCAAGATCAAGCTTTATTTCTTGAGGGAGGTGCAAAAGAATGGAGACATACACTTAGTGCACTGCAAAACAGATTTTCAGTTTATATTTTAACTAAGGCCTTACCTAGAGCAAGATTTTAGTTTCTAAGAAAAGGACTTAGGGTTGATGCTCTTGACTCAAGGAGGAGTGTTGAAAGTGGTGCCTCAAAAGCTGGAGATTAGTTCCACCTTCTATTGTATCAATATACAACTTATAAAAGTAGGATTGAGTTCAGATAAATAAGGTTGTAGTGTTGGGCGGAATCTGATTAGTTAGTTGCTATATTTTAGGCTTTAGTTATTTGAGATAGTATTAGCTTATTTTACTCCTTTTCTTTAGTCTTTTAAGTTATGAATTCATGTATTTATATTGCAGTCATTATTTCAATAAAGTAATGCGTACTTAACCTTGTTATCTTTCTTATCTTTTCTTTCTTTGTCAATATTTGTAATCCCCTACAAAATGTGTTTCAAGAAAAGAGATGAGCTATGTTTGCTTTGATTATTTTAGTCATGCAGAAGTTCTGCAGGTACAACAGATTTTAGCAGCAACCAGGAGTTTCCAGGGAAGGCCAAAGCCCTCTTATGATATGAAGGATAAAGGAAACCCCTTGAAGGAAAGGAGCAGAAACCTAATCTCGAGCTCTGCCGACGAAGATGAGGAATAAGATGGTGAAGCGGCCTCTGTAACTTTCCTAAAAGGAGACCTAGGGTCGTTTAATGTGGACTCGACCAGATCTCTGTTTTTTGTCTTTATTGTTTCTAGTTATTTGGATCAGACCGCTTTATTTTATATCTTTTCTTTCTCAATAAAGGGCTTGTTGGACACCTTTAACCTCCAAAAAATAATAGCAAACTGGAGGATGGAGAAAGCATACACCGACAGCTCCAAAGAGAGTATAAAAAATAATCAAGTTTACCAACGCAATAGATTGAGCACAATTTCTATGAAGTCAACATTGAAATTTGTAGGATGAGCTACATATATAGGTTCAACCAACAAACAAAAATAAATAGTACTTAATAAAAAATGAGTGTGGCTTTGGACCACCTAAAACCAATAAGCAAAGTCATGGCAGTTCCGGATCCATTCACATTTCTTCGAATTTGAATCTAACGTTGGGTGATTCTCGATGGAATTGTTTTATCTCATCCATCATCTGTGTACCCCGATGAAACTGCCCACTACTCCAAATGAAGATTTCCTTAAGTACCGGTGCAGATGCCAATATAAACTTCACAAATTCTATTTCCATCTCAAAACCAATAAAATAACGCATTTCCACACTTTTAACCAGCTTCATAGCACCACAATGCCTACTGCTTCCTGTAAAAAATTTGGTAACAGCTAGGCGGATTCAGATGAAGAAACCATATCAATAAGTTTTATGAGAAAGTAGGAGGGTGCTTACACATTCAATTGTAAGTTCTTGTAATTTAGGGCAGCTTGTAATCAAGTAAACTGCACTAGAAACCTCCTCAACATTTCTGAAAGACATGTCCGAAATACATAGGGATTTGACATTGTTTAGAGCAGCCGGGGGATTCTCTGGTATACCTCCCATGTTCAAGTACTAGAAGCAAGTAAAAAAATTGGTTGAAGATACATCATATGATTATAATAAGTACCAACTATCATAAGTAATATTATCACAAATGTACATTACCTCTAATGATGAACCGCCTAGTTCTAGTTCCTCCAGGGAAGGCATGAAATGGAAGAACTTTGTAAGATTAGAACAAAAAGTTGACGTATCCATCAAAATCCGATTGAGACATACAGCAATGGTTTTAAGCATAGGGACATTCTTGAAGCAAATGAGCTTCGATGTTCCAAGAAAGTCGAAGCATTTGAGATTAGGGGCATCAATTTCAAGAACATCAAATGCGGTGCACCTAGTCAACATCAAACTTTCAAGCAATGGGCATTTGGTTATGAGATTCTTAAATATTGTTGGATCAAAAATGACATGTTGAAGATTAATACTAATAAACTTTGCAAACCCTTTGAAATCAGGTGGAGGGTGGAAGAAGCACATATCAAGGTCCAGATGTCTTAGTTGCTGAAATGTGAAAAGATAAGAAGGTAAATGATATTTGTTGCCTGTGAATATTTGAAGGGTGAGTTCCTGGACATTTTTCTTTGACAAGAAGAGCATCCAATTATAAATATCACGATAACATATCAAATTAGGATGTTGGAGAGTAAACTTTAGTATTGGTCCTTGATGCAGTCGTAGGACTTGGTAAATGATTTTCTTAGCTTCTTGGTTGTTGTTGAAAGATGTGAAAAACTCACTACAAAAATCAAGTTCTGCACGCGTTACCCATTTGTACCTCCAATCTTTTGACAAGATACTGGTCTTCACTGCATCTTTCAAAGGCAAGCTCCCAAGAATTTTATCCAAGACATTACAGGGCAAATTGCTAATTGTAGCACTCTTCATGGTTATATACACATGATTGTAGACAACTCGAAAAAATCAGATCTGAAATAAAGAAAATATCCAAATTCTCATAAATACACATTTCAACAATGTATGCATAGTCTTATATAACTACTAGTTCAACATTTTCAATCGCATAGAAATTTATCATTTTTCAAATATCAGAGGGAAAAAATAAAGATGAATGAGAGAGTACCAGGAAAATGTTGATTGGAGACAACAATGGTGGAAGCATGAATTTAAAAGGATATTTCACCCAAATACACCGTACATTTGTTTGGCATGGGGGAACAAGGAAGCTACTTCCGTTTAAAGAAAAAAATCTTGTAAAAATCTGTTCTTGCAATCGGCAAAACCTATATTAGAGCAATTAGTTCATGCTCTATCTTTTGAATGTCGGACATCTATTTCCATTTCAAGAAAATGATTTTATAGAAATATATACTTAACATATGAGATATCTGCTATATGAATTATGCATACATCGAAAGTACCAAAAAGTCCTTGGGAGTTCCGCCCCTAGGGCTTTTGTCTAGTGGGAAGTGTGCTGCTTGTGTTGCGTAGACTAGGCATACATCTTAGGTTTGGGTTTACAACAAACAAAACCTACCATTTAAGTCGAGAAGAATATACATCAAGATTAGTTATTTATTGAGTTGCGAAATTGTTTCTACAATGTGGATTTTTTTGTTACACATACGAAAAGAGAGTTACAAAAACAAAGTTGAGTTCAGAGGCTTACCTGTAGTAGAGCATCCTCTACTTCTCTGTCTCTCCGTTTCATTTTTCTCTAGATGCGCAATGTTTCATTCTTCTCTCTTAATATCAAACTTTATTTGAAATCAATGATTTAATGTTAAAAATTATGAAATAATAAATGAGTAATGAAGGGTTGAAGTCAAAATCACTTACCCAAAAGTATAATTTCAAAAAATCTCATTGAAATCACATAAACCAAATTCTTAGAGTTCAAAAATAGAGGAATGGGGGAAGTAATATCAATTTTAGGAAATAGGAATATGCCAGGTCAGTTACTCCACGTGATCACGACTCAGTCCATGTGATCGTGAAGAGGAAAATAACTCAACTCATTTTTTATTTGCGCGACCGCAACACAGGTTTCACATTTCAATGCCTAGTATGCTTATACCTATGCAATCCAGGTGGGCCTCACATGTGTCACACCCCAAATCCGGATGTGATGGCACGTGTCCATTTCCCACCAGACACGTCAGCCTAAACCAACCACAACGATAGAGAAGTAGAAATACGAGAATAAAAGATAATAAATAAGCGGAAGACTTTAATTAAGACTCAACACTACCCAGAATTTAGTTGTCACATGTATAAACCTCTAAATACAGAATTCAAATAAAAATATACAAGTCTCAGAGTATAGTTCTCGAATAGAACAAAACTGAAAGTAAAGATAACTCAAGGGCACGTCTGGAATGAACCGCTACCTCTCGAGTATGTCCCGATGCTCAATCTGCTAAAGAAAGTACTAAGCCGAATCTGAGAGATCTGTCAACCTACACAATTGTGTAGAAGCAAGGGTGAGTACCGAAAACCATAGGTACTCGCAATTAACTCTAAACTAAGCAAAACTAGCAGCTACAAACAACTCCTTTCAATCCCAACCGAACCATCGAAACTTCAATCTAGCAGCAAACCAACCAACCTATACTAAACATATCATATTCAACAGCCAGAACCAACAGTATATTCTCATCAACCTCAGATCAACAAATAAGAGCAAGTAGATCAAATTCCACATAAGAAGGGTAAACCAATACAATCCACACATCACAGACAAAGATAAGGCAAATGCGATGCAAAATGCAATAATGATGTCATGTAGTCGTGATGCATGTCTGTCCTATGATACACATCTGTTGACGTAATCAATCCACGCAGAATACTCAAATCAGAACCCATGGGGGCCACACATGGACCATGTATCACCGCCGGAACCAGATCCCATCGGCATCCAAATCGCTAGCCGGAGCTAGTCCAACTCATATATTTCTAGCCGGAGCTAGTCTCAACTGTGTCTCATATCCATCCATTCTCATATCAGTGTCTCAGCACTCATGCAACAGATAGTTCACACATGGGATGAATAATGAATATGCACATGTCATCAATCACAATTATACCACGATCACATCATAGTATTACACATCATTTGTCTCAATCACAACCATATCACGACCACATCATAGTATTACACATCACCTGTCTCAATCACAACCATATCACAACCACATTATAGTATTACACATCACCTGTCTCAATCACAACCATATCACGACCACATCATAGTATTACACATCACCTGTCTCAATCACAACCATATCACGACCACATCATAGTATTACAAATCATCTGTCTCAACATCAATGTATGTATCAATCATAGCCTACTCATGCTCTTCTATCCCCTCAATATCAGTTATCACATGACTTATTCAACAAATTCAAGTCACATATAACACATTTAGCTCGTTTTATTCCCCATCTTTCATTTACAACAATTTCAATCAACAAATAAAACACATCCTCAATCCCCATTACTCCCCAACACAATTAGGAAAGTAGTCATGCGTAGTCTAAGAGTTTTACAAAGTTTGGAAGCCACTTGCCTTAAAACGAACTCCAAAAGTTACTTGACTTAAGCCCTTTCCTTTTCGAGTATAATCTGGATCACGATAATCTATTTCAACAATTATTCACAATCACAATTCGAGTCCAATGACACCAAAATAAAGAAATTTAGGGAAAAAGGGCAAAACGGTCCAAAAGTCTCATATCGGAAAACAATACCCAAATCTGGAAATTTTTGATGTAAAATGATCCTTAAAGTATTTGGAAGCTAATGGTGAAAACCAATTTGAAAACGGAGTTGAAATCAATTCACAAATTCAATTTGAAAGAAAATCCACGTTCTTGAAGAAGCCTAAAATATTCGGATCCGAAACCCCGACTCGAAAATGAAATATCTCTTGAAAAACATCTTACTCATGCTTAGATAAGTTCAAATATGAAATTTCATCAAAAACGGAGTTAAGATCGACCTTGAAATTCTCAATTTATCAAACTTTAACTTTACCGGGAAAGTCCAAATTGTACGCGGTTAATATGATGAAAATAATCGATGAATCAATAATTTTATGTTAAAATCAGTTTACCCATAACATAAGGATCGTAAATATACCTTTTTCATCAAAAAGGGAGTCCAAATCGATAAAACCCCAATTTTTCCCAAGAGATTTACGGATAGGAAAAAAAACCAGATAAAGAAATTATGAGAAAATGTCGAATTGAAGATTGAATACTAACTCTCATATTAATTCAAGAAGAAACCCCTAAGAATCACTCCATTCCGATCTCTAGAACTCCCGATATGCTCAAAATACCAAATGAACACAGTCTGAGATTTTTATAACAGTACATGGCTGTTATGCACCAGAAAAACAACAGTTAATCTTTCACTAAAAAGGCCGTAATTTCCTCATACGATAGTGAAATGACCCGATTCTTTTTTTTGTAAATGTCTTAAATAATGATACAGACCTGCTCGTTCAATCGGAGCTCAATTTCATGCTCGTTTGCCCAGTCAAATATCATTTCTACTCGGTAAACAATTATTTCTTATTTGCGATAAAAGTCCAATCTCGGGTTAGCGAAAATGCACCAAAATTTGCAGATAAGTCCTATAATTCATGCTCAAAATTTCATAACCTTCGGAATAATTTTTCGACCTTTAATACTAATAATGAACCCTTTAGTTGCTACAATTTGCTGAAATAGTGTCAAAGCATCCAGAAGCTTAAAAGCTCATCCAAAACTCATTTGACACTTCCCGAACACAAACCAAATATGCAACTAGCTTGAAAATGACATTTCGGACTCAATGAAATCGTCGGAATTTGAATTTGAGGTCTCCTTGACCTGGTATCCGATAAGGCGTCAAGAAACTAACTTTAGGCTCAAAAACTCGTAACGCACTCGGGGCCTCTAAAAATTCAACCAAGACTCATTCTAGACTTAGAATCACCCCTTGAATCCAACGGTGCCCTCGGAATTCCATTTCGAGCACCGAAACCTCGTTTGTTGACCAAAGTCAACTATTGATCAAAATTTCACAATTTTTGCAACTTAGGACCTCAAATCTTCGTTTTAACTCTAAATTCAACTCCGTAAATTCTCATAGACCCGTTTCGACATTCTAAAACTGTTGGAATCGACGGATATCCGATTCGAGTCTAGAAACTCCAAATGACTCGAAATAGCACTTTTAACCAAACTTCAACTCTTAAAAACTCAACTTTTCATCAATTTTCCTTCAAACCAACTTCGAGAATACAACAATTAGGACTCGGGGCAACTATCGGGAGGGGTAAAACGGTCATTTTATGAAAATTTCCAAACATGACCTTTAGGGTCATTACATTATTCACCACTAAAAATCATGTTCGTCCTCGAACATAAAGTAGAAGAAGGCAAAAATACTCGACGCTATCAACCCCGAGGTGAAATTTCCGAACTCAATAATTACTACTCCAAACGAACCCATTCTTAAACCTTATCCCAAAAATCCATAAAAAGGATTCTCAAATCAATCTTGACAACTTAACCCTGAAAGGGTTATTTCAAACCACCGACTAACTCAAAGACTGAATCTGAATCTAAGATCTCAAAACCACAACATATTTACCATGACAAACCCCTAATCTTGTAACCACGAGAGAAATTTCGGAATCAATAACCACAGAAAAATCAAGGATGAACCTAAATCAGTCACCAAGCTCTCACAACACACGAACCATCACCGACTCTAGAAAAAATTCCATTCTCATTACCACATTTCCACAAGTCTGAGTCATACTAATCTGATGCATATCCATCGAGCACCCATCTTGGAATAATCACGCTTATCTAACCCACAGATAGAAATGATCAAGTATCCAACTGATGATTGACCCATCCAAGCATATA